TCTAAAGCACTGACTTAGAACAAGCTTAGCAAAGCACAGGGACCGCGGTTCAATCCCCCAGCACCACATGCCAGCCGGCCCCGCCCCCTGGTGGGCTGAGATGGCCACACACACACACACACACACACACACACAAATAAATAAAAATTTAAGAAAAAAAAAGTCCAGTTCTGCTTCAGATGGTCCAGGCACCATCAGGATGGTCCCTGAACTTACTGTGTGTCCTAGCTAGTAGAACACAAGTTATGAGCTTCATTGTGTCCTCTTGCCTCTGTCTCTGCCCCTGGCTCCTCACTTGGAAGGGGACCATATGGATTTAGGTGCCTGGTGTCCTCAGCACCCAGCACCATGCCCAACACAGAATAGACACCCCTTACACATGCTTACTGAGTGAATTACTGCCTTGTAAGTGGTATTTGCAGTTGGCAATTATCAAAATGAAAGAGAAGGGCTTGATGTTCCTGAGAGGGGCTTTTTATTTTTCTACTACAGCTTCCCCATACACCTTACAGCAGACCCAGTCATCCCTGATGTCCTGCAGTTCTCCAGGAGGTATGTGCTTTGGATGCAGGAAGATTCAGACATCAACCTCTCCCCGAGGACTCTGGATGGCTCTGCCCTGCAGCCTCTGCAGTCTTCCTCATTCAGGTCCATGAGGACTGCCTTCCTGACCCATGACCCAAGTGAAGTCTGACTCTGTACCCTGCCTTTTCCCCTTATAAATGACCTCTCTGCACTCTGAGTTCTGATCTGTGTGCTATTTCCTCTTGTGCTGCAGCAGAAATCCTACTAAAGCCTCTTCCAGATGGCATCCTGTTGCCTATGCATGATTTCTATCTTGCATAGAGCAGGCTGAGCAAGGACACTAAGAATTGGCAACACCCAAGGCTGCTGTCACCCAAAGTGGGCAGAAACCAGGGTTGGTAACGCTGAAGCTGGCTAGCGGCAGGCAGGGATGGAGAGCGGCAAAGCATTGCTAGGAGGCACCATCTCTGTGGCTGGGAGCGGTCCCAAAGGTTGCCTATAGCTGTTGGCTGCGCAAGTGGGATGGAGGGTCACTAATATTAGGAGAGCCGATAAACACCAGCATTCGAAGCCCTGGGATTTCACACAAAAAGAGCTACACTTTGTCAATTGTGATTTGTATAGGAAAAGTCCCAGGTAACATCTAAAATGCCCGTATGGAGACCCTTCCCTTTAGAGGCCTCTGAAAAGAAGGTGAGACTAGAGTGATGATTGTCAGCAGGCTCAAAAAGCTGCTGATGTCTGATTGCCATGTCACATACCACTAAGAATCCATGCTAGATGGTGATAGAAAGAAATTCTTAGAGCATACTGTCCTGGAAGAAACTGCCACCCAAGTGAGCCGTGGCGTTCAGCTAGGTATCTTCCCTCCCAGCTGGCCTGCCTCTAGGAGCTCTGGGGCTCTTTGGACCCTGTGGAGTGAGGCTGGGTGGTGATTGTAACACAAATCCCAAAATAGAAAGAAGAAGGGAAGCGGAAGGTGACCATTTAAGGCCAGGAAATCCCCAGAAATGTCCCCTGGCTTGTTTTAAATGTCTTAAATTAACTACTCAGGGGAAGCATCCCCTGCCAGAGAGGCAGGAAGACCTGCTGGGGCTGTGCCACCAGGTGGGGTGGGGTGGGGTACTCCGAGTACCTGCAGAGAGCCCTATCTCTCCACTGAGAACAGGGGCCTTCTTGTGAGGAAACAAGAACTGGGAATAACCCCGGTTGGCAGGGCACCCGAGAGGAAGTCCAGCAGCCTGGCTGTCAGTCGCCCCCACTTCCATATGCGGGCGTGTTTCTTGGCACTGTGCTGGTGTTAATGAAAGGAAGTGTGTGTGCTTGGGGCACCGGTACCCGGCCTCAACTTCATTCTTTCCAAGGGTCTCCACCACACTGCTGCCACCAGCAAAATCAATTAGGCTCCCTCCCAACAACAGTCAGGCAGTGTTTCCAAGCCTGGAGGTGAAATGAATCCCATGGCTGAGGCTTGCCTTCTACCCCAGTCCCTGATCTCTGCCTGGGAGCTCCAGGGCAGATTTAGGGGACAGTCTGCCAAAATGAACAGAAAAATAATCACGGAGGTGAGCCATGGGCCTGAGAGCTCCAGAGAATCTGCTTGTTTGGTGGATGATGTCTTTCAGAGCTCCTCAGCACTTGGTTGTAATGTTTCAACTTTATTTGGGCCTGGCCTTGTAAACAGATTTTTACGAAGCCAAAGGAAATTTGCCCCAAGTAGAGGTGAGCAGGTTTCCCCCCTCAGAGTTAGTAAATTTACACCTGAGGTAGAACAGTCTTTGTTAAAATGCCATAGGGAGCTTCTGGAGTCCAGCGTCCCTCCCAGCCACTCACAGGGGAGAAGCACGGCAGCAGGAGTCCTGAGCTGAGGGCTGCCTCGACCAGGCTCTGGGATGCATTAAAAGGGACCCCAGTATTCAATCCCTTTGGAGTTTGTCAGCATTGAGAAGGAGGCTGGTGCAGCAGCAAGCTACCTGCAGAGTGCTGTGCTATCCTCTGACAAGTCCTGGAGCCCAGA